TCAGTCCGACTTGCAAACCATAGGCTTACATATTTAGTAACATATGTCAACCAGGTGAAATAGGTCCTTGACCTTAGTATTTGATACAGCTCCTCTCAAACATGGGGCATATGTGGCAGAGGCTGAAACAGAAGATACCTGTTTCGGCCATAATAAAGGCTGATGGCGGCGGTGATACCTCCACGCGTTCTTAAGAAAAAGAGTCTTATCAGACTGCCAGAAGGATGGACAGACAAAACATGATCCAATGAGGGATTATTTCTTTTGAGATACGATCCCCCAAAAACTAATATCTCATATAAAAAAACAAGCGAGCCTTACGGTGGTCGCGTATGATGTGTAACAATTGAAACCTCACCTTATATTAGTAAAAAAAGAAATAAAACCTACTACAAAAGGAATAAGCTATTTGAACATTATGTTCTAAAATCAAATCAAATAGCGCGCGCTTTCGCGACTTCTTGTTACACACTTCCGTCCCATTTCATGAAATAACTCCCACAAATAGCAGGAAAGCGAGAGGAAAGATGTTACACATCAAAAAGTGCAAAAAAACATACTCGCAAACGCAGAAAGGTAAAAGGTAAATACTTAACTTTCATAGAAACTTTGGAATGAAAACAAAGAAAATTGTATTAATATCTTTAAAAGAGTGTTCAAGTGTCGCATAAAGTGATGAGTGCTAGTAATTCGATATTTAAGAAATCCAATTGTATATCGTCATGTAATAATATCTTTATCTGGTTTTCCATCATCGTATGATAGGCAGTTTTTGGACAACAAACTACTTCCTATGTAAATTGATATAAATATATTAACATTTAGGGGGATGAAAAATAGACGTCCGATTCTCAGACCTACTGAGTAATTATGCATATAAAATTTTACGAAAATCGGTCGAGTTGTTTCGGAGTATTTCAATTACGAGAATTTTATATATTACATTAATTAAGAACTTCCTCCTTTTTGAAGTCGGCTAAATAACAGTTCGTGCGAATCAGTCTGACACGCATTAGGTTCCATATCATTATACAAATTTTTACCTTAGATCTTGGCCGCAGTTCGACCAAAAACGTGGAAAAACACGTTTCTTGCATGAGGGCTTACTTAAATTTTATTGGATTTTTACTATTTTTTCTTATGTGCCAGTGAAAATAAATACACATTCTGTGAAAATATAAAATTTTCACCTATTACAGCCCACTAAAAGAGATAGGAAGGAAATACAGCGAGTCCTTTGTCATAGGCAGTGTCGTCTTAGACCTATTAGACGCCCTGGGCATATTAGGATAATGGGACCGCTATGACTTCCGTTTGGTGATTTAAGAGGAACTAGGGAATTTGTATTTGATCTGAGGGGGTCCCCTATCGATCGCGGTCCCCTGGGCACTTGCCCAAAGTGCCCACTGGGAAAGACGAGTCTGGTCATAGGTTTTCGTTTAGTAGTTATGTCTCAGACGTTTGAAGATTCTAAAAATAAATATTTCCCAGGAAGCAAGCCTAGCAAACTTAATATAACTTTATATTATTATTTCCTTAAACAAGTCAGACAGGAACCTGTCCATACATTATCTTTAGTAAATCTGTAACAGTGTTATGTGATGTCCGGAAAATTTGCCGTGTCTGATATAGGGTTGTCACGTATGTCTTATAAGTGGGTGCCCGAGACTGTAAATATTAGTTTCCCATACAAATTTTGAACCCCCGTTTTTCCTCTTTATGGTTGGATGAGTTTTGAAAAATCCTACATCATAATAGCTATAATGTGCGAAAAATTTCAGTGCGTACAGTGGTTTGAGCTGTGAAATCAGTCAGTCGGTAACGGTTGCCTTTTATAATTACAGATTAAAGGTAGAGACATCCATTCCTTTTCCTCGCCTAGTTATCAGAAAAAAAACACCAGAAAAGTCAATAGCCCACTCTCGAGGCCAGTGTCTAGATATACAGATTTGTCCGTATTCATGCGGAATTTTAACATTTAACATTTAAAACATACGAATATTTAGACGGAATTGTCAGGAAAATGCAAATAGTAGTCTCTCTCTTAATATTCCTAAGAAAATAATCTTTACCAATATTATAAAGAGAAAATATTTAATTGTTTGTTTGCTTGTGACTTTTTTGACTGATAGGCTCCGCTAACTTTATTGAAGTAGGTACACCACACAGGATACAAAAGAAACAAAATTGGATACAATAACCAACTCTTATGTTTCAAACTTTTCAATATTTTTCTATCTTACTCCAGTGTTCAAATAGTTTTCGCCTAATAGGCAACCTTACATCATTCGCACCACACACAACCGACTCGACTGGCTAAGCAGCACGTAACCTAGGTATTTTTTCCTGTACTCAGTTCAATTACACGCGTCGTACTATATAATCATCAGCTGTTAGGTAAACTACACTACTATTAAATAAGTAAGTAGTAAAATCTAATTTCATGATGATCAAGCACGTTTGCAAGTGCATCAGTCTATTAAAGTCCTCACTGCTGGGCAAGGGCGTCGCCAGCTTATGACTAAGGGGGGAGGGGGGGGGCAATGGGGCAGTATAATAGGTAAGGAAGGATTTGATCTCAAGGGGGCAACTGCCCCCCTTTGGCGACGCCCTTGCTGCTGGGGCAAAGCCGTTCCCTATGGACGGAAAAGGGAGATTGTAGCCGTATCCACCATCCACCACGCTGGCTCAGTTCGGATTGATGGGGGGTGCTAACTACTGCAGGTGCAGCCGGGACTAACGGCTTAATGTGCCTTCTGGAGCACGGAGGAACTCGAGGAATTAAGTTTTTGATAACCCACCCAATAACCGGCCATCTTGAAAATTGCTAACCTCCACAATCTCAGACCAAAGCGGCTAACCACCTAAGCCATCAAACTGTCCCGTACCGGTAATAATTTCTTAATTACTACTGATTTTTAGGGTTCCCTTATATGATCACTTTGTTGTCCGTCCGTCCGTCCGTCTGTCAAGACCGTTTTTCTCAGGAACTCCTGGAGGTATCAAACTAAAATGCATATCTAATACTCAGGTCTTCTGTCCCTTGGAGCTGTGAAAAAATCAAAACTTCTAAGCCAAAGCAATCAAAAGATACAGCCGTTTATGCCGCAGATTTCCTCATATTTTCGAAACTCGCGCGGGAATCAAAACCTACAGGGTACTTCCCGTGAACTTAGAATCTTGAAATTTGGTACGAAGTAACGTCTTATAGTACAGATAACGGAAAAATTGCGAAAACCGTAAATTTAGTTACGTCACATAATAAAAAATATTTTTGAAAATTCAGGTTTGTACGGAACCCTCGGTACGCGAGTCCGACTCGCGCTTGGCCGGTTTTTATTTTTCAAGGCACAGCAGTACCCCAACTGTGCTCTAGTCAAATTGTGTTAATAAATGTGACGCTCCAGTGCAGACGGCTTGGCCTGAATCCAAAATCCAATACCCAGTGTCGCTATAGTGTAGCTCTACAACCTTATTGCAACAGCAGCCGTCGGTAGAGAGGGTTCGAAAAAATTACTCGGCAACAATAAACTTGAAATTGTATATATTTTATGGTATAAATATAAAACTGAAAGAAAATAGGTGGGTAGTCCAGTAGGAATACAGTAAAACTTACCCCGTGATATGTCATGGTGCAACACTGCCAACGCGGTTGTAGTACCTAATTTTATTTTTTACATTCATATAGTACCCAACTAATAATACAAAAATACTAATAATATACTAAAGAAAAACTATTAACGAACATTTGAAATAAATTTGGTGACGGCCATGAAGGTCGAATATGGAGGAAACAAACAAAGAGAAATAAGTTCTTTGAAGATCTTCTCATACATAGAAACTTACATCTTGACTCATAATTCAAAAAAGAAGTCTGCCCTGATGCAGTGAAAAGCACTAATAATAGATAAATTTTAAAAAATAATAACAACTTATTTTTGTGTCAAAATTATGTTTCAGTCAAATTTCAATTAATCAAAACTATATCTTGATTGATTTCCTTTTTTTTCATGACATACAATTATTTATTTCATTAATTATCATAATACCACGTACCGGAATGAAAACATATACCTAATTGAATTGACTAAGTAAATATTTTCATGGATAAGTTTGTAAAGTTATTCACTGGTTCATAAAAATAATAACAAATCGATTAAGGAGGGCGCAAATAATTTTAGCGTTAGGTTCAACAAAAATGGGACGCCATCATTCAACACCAATGCGAATTTATATCAACACGAATTCGACAGTACATAAGTAATTACAAGCACTATGATAATTTAGTAACCAACGAAACATCTCACTAGATACCAATTTAAAACGCCTCACACGTAAATATGCCTAAATACACGGGACAGCAAAAATTTGGTCATTTGCCGGTACAGATTGGAGGAACTCTGGTTAGATTTTTCAAAAATATAAAAATTACAACTATCAAAGTTATAAACAGAGGAAGTGCGTTTCATGATGACCAAAATAAACAGGAATTTATTTAGATTATCACGTTTTTATTAAGAACTTTCCATAAAAGAACCGTTTTCCAGTTGTGCTAATCGGTAGTTAAAAACGAATTAAAACTAACTAAAACGATGGATAAACACATTTAAAAACTAAAGAAATGATAAAAAGTATCAGACTCACCTCATTTTTTGGAAAATAATGATAATAAAAAATAATTAGCAATCGTTAGCTTTGTGCTTCTTACTTGATGACAAAATAAATTTACAGTACTTTAGAATACATTTTTAGTCATTGTAATCATCATGAAATGCACTTTCAAAAGATATAGCTTTGATTGTTGTAAGTTATACGTTTTAAGAAAATCGAATCAGAGCTCCAAGCACCTAATAACGGATGAAATTTAAAATCAATTAACCTATTGTTAGACAATCAACATTGTACCGAGTCTAGTCTGATTGTGCATACAATAGCTGTTACCATAAATACACTGGTAAGCGTCGTGCCGGCCGGCGGGTGCTAAATAGAATTTAGTTGACATGACCGCACTGCGAGAACAGCACGTTAGTGATAACAACAAGCAAGCCAGTGACGTAGTTATCGTTGATATAGACACCGAAATCGATAATATACTCAACCCTGGATCGATACGCGATAACAACGAACAAGTGCCAGTGCTACACGTGCGTGTGGAACAGACACATGTGAAGATGAACGGAAACGGTGAGTAAGACTTTTCTTTTTCACTTTTGTTTAGATAAGTTTTCGTGACGAATTTCACTAAGAATTTTCCTGAAATATAAAAAAGCCGTCTTTGTTAATTAAATCTCGAAAGTCCACAGAATAGTTCTTCGTCTGCAATGGCAATAGTTTCATTTATCTGTTTATTCTGTACCTAAGTAAATGAGTGACATCACACTGTTTCTTTTTTTTACGGTAACTTTTTTCGCCTGTACACGCAATCGACATTATGTTTACATCAAATATTATGTTGAGACATGCAAGACTTATTTACCTCCTACACCCTATAAACGACCTTAATAGTCTTTATTCTTTTATTATTAACTCTTTGCCGATTTTAGCATCTCTGCCCCCCCGCCCTGGCATGAGCACCGCGATATGATATATATATCGCGTTTTTATCACGCTCAATTGTCAGATTACTATGGAGTTTGACAGTTGAACGCGATAAAAAACGAGATATAACGTAAATTGTGGTGCTCATGCTACGGAGATTGGTGTGGTGCAGGCGGTCGTCTCTGGCCATGCTTTTTCTTAACCTTCGGAAGTGTTTGACGCATTTTCCGCCATTGGATTGTTATTTGGAGCTGCTAACGATCAGACGGACCGTATGACAGTTTGCCACCCTTATAGTATAAAAAATATTGTTTTAGATTAAGAGGCCCATTTCTTTATTGATTTCATTAATTAGATGTTTGCGTTAGTGGCATTTATATATTTATTACATTACGTATATCGTTTACTTAAATCAACACTAAAGTTTTTGTACAGCTCAGAGCAACAGCTACTGAATTACATATACACTACGGGACATTGGCGAAATTTCTGTGTAAAACGGAAACAGCTACAGAACAAAAAAAATACATGTACTTACTTATATATACCTAAATGAGTTAGGTGACAGTTCATAGGTAAAATATTTTATCCTCGGATGAATCGTCGCCCTTTCAAATTGTTAAGTGTGTCGAATCATCCATAAAATATTTTTAATCATACTAATAAGGTAAAATAGAAAAACAAACGAATTTTTAATTAAAAAAATATTGACATTGGGTTAGGGTAGGAAACAGTACGAGTGGTATTTTTGGTATCGCAAGCTTCTATAGGCTAAGTTGACCGCTTACCATCAGCGGGCAATATGCATGTAAGCCACCCTCAGAACAAAAGAAATGTGAACTTCTTTTCTATCCATGTATTTTGGAAATAATAACTGAGCCGGGGCTTTTTAGTTAGCCTTTTGTAGACTTTACAAAAAGTTAGTTTTCTTCTTCTAATGCCTCTCCTAACAGCGAAGGTTGGCAGTCAGCTTAGCAAACGTCTCCTTATCCTTAGCGAGATGGAATAATTCAGCGGCGCTCGAGATTCCAGTCTATTCTCCTAGGTTCCTCAACCAAGACTTCTTCCTGCGACCGATGCCTCGTTTTCCAGCAACTTTGCCCATCATTGTTAATTGTAAAAGTGCGTACCTTTCGTGTCTCATCACGTGCACTAGATATGCAACCTTCCTCACTCTGATGGTGGTCTGTGCGGAAAGAGAATGGGCGTGGCGAAAAACAGAACATTAATATTTTTATTTGGCAATCCAACCCAGCCATCTGTCAAACGTCAAAGTTTTGTATTGATACGGATTGTTTTTTTGTGATTTCTTGCGGTTTATTTGTATTTAATCCTGTCTAAAAGGGATAAAACCTTACAAATACGGTAGAAAAACACTACAGTGCCCTCCAATCTAAATCCCATTCTCTTTCCGCACAGATTCTATCCCAAAGTTCGCGTTTCTTACCAACACGTCGCAGGATTTCATTATTTATTTATTTTCAAACTTAGTTGATGTTGTTTATTGTAATGAACTCCGAATTATGTTTTTACCCGACAACGCTAGAAGAAAAGTTATGCTTTAGAGTGTATATGTGAATTTTGCTTTGACACGCTCTGCAGCCTAAACGTATTAAATGGTTTAAATACGTTTAGGCTACAAAGTGAGTTAGTTTAAGAACCATATAAAAATAAACAAAATTAAAATCATAACATCCGCAAAAATAGCAATTACTAAATTATTAATTGTTTGTGATTAATTTAACTTTTACTTAGATTTTCACAAAAATGAATTCCCGAAACAGCGTACTACTAATAACTCCCGAAAACCCATTGGAGTTTCTTTAAATTTGCGATTGGAGCTTTGTACATAATCTCTTATCTAATAGACAAGTCCGTCCGTCCGTCCGTGGTGCTGTTTCAGCGGCCAAACCGTAAGAGATAGATAAAGAGAATGTTTAAGTTATAAGTTAAGAATAGTCTGATAAGACTACAAACCGGATTTGAGTAACGTAGCACTTCCGTTTTTCGAGAAATCACGTGATTTCTATTTTAAACGAAACCACACAAAATCTCCGAAGTTCTCAATTAATTGAATACATTTATTTTTTTTTTTGGTGAACATTTGGTTCACTGGTTTGCTAGTTTGTTTGTAATGGACTACTACGGAGCCATACTTCGAGCGTGCCCCGTGCTAATTACTTGTTAACAGATATAGCCCGATTATGAATTACAGTTAAAAAAATAAAAAAGTATATATGATGAGCATAAATGCTGGTGTCCTTTAGCTCTTTTCAAGAAAACATCTTAGGCGCCTGCGTAATTTATGAATAACTGAGTAGAAATAAAAACTAAATAAATGAGTGAGACTTGTCAGTATTATGTTGCCGTAGAAGTGCTAATTATACGTACTGTGTCAAACATGAATCGCAAACATAATAAAGACAAACAGGTACTCAGATAAGTTGTAAGTTTTCAAATAATCGTGAATTTGATTTCGATAAAAACATTAGCCACGTAAATAAGTCTTAAAAAGTTACTTTGCTTATTCATACCAATCGCCGTAGACAATTAGTGGCAATTGGCAATCAAGTACTTATTTCAAGCACTTCTTTGCATTCCTTTGAACAGAAGAATCGAGGATTAAACTAAGACTACTTACGCCGTGTTTTGATCATATCACTGAAATGTCATTTTTGTCATTTAATGAACAGAGACAAAATATGGAGTATCTAATGCAAGTTTATTCTTTATTTATTAATAACACGGTCTTACTACAACAAAGTAGACACTAGGCTTAATTTGAATAAAGAACTTTGGTGCTCTTCTTCTTCGGCTCTACACTCTTGATAAAGTGGTCGTGGTCGTCAGATGAACCCTGATGGGTTGGTGACGCGCTTCACAATACGCCGCCATTCGTCCCGCACTGCGGCCTTTCTCGTGCACTCGTGAAGTTGACCCGTCAGTTGACTTTGGTGCTAATAGGGCTTATTAATGTTGGAAACTTTTAAAGCTTATTTCATTGTTTATTTCTTCTTTTTAAACATTAAAGTAAGCTTTATAGTTCAAACTAATTAAAAGATTGCCACTTGTCTAAGTACCTCACCCAATCACCAATGATTGAGAAAATGCAATGTATTTTCAGTAATACTAATGACATGTAATGTAACATACTGGAATAGATTAGTAACTCATGATAAATTTTGTAAGCAATTTGAACGGTGCCTACTCCAAACAACTGTATCAGTCGATGATGGCTATTGTTTTAATTGTCACATAATGACAAATCCATTAAATGTCTATCAATTTTACATATTCGTAATCCACAGACCTAATTAACTAATAGCTTTAGGCACGTACCTTACCTAACCTTCTTTTGATGACCATAATAACTATTCCAATAATAAATAACTACAATGTATTACTAACGACGAAGACGAGGAAACAAAGATAAATTATAATATTTAAAGAGATGGAAGAAACTACGTAATAAAGTTATTTTTATCCCTTACTGCATATTGGTACCTACAAGAAGGCAGTAAAAAGGCCCCAAGGTCATTACGAATTTTTCACCAATGTCTAACCATATTCACGCAACGGAATAATTTACAACTTCTATTTTTATTCCGCCAGTGTATATTATATATTTATTATTATATTTTTATACTTTTATGAGATTTTTTTTATTCCGATTAGAGGTAGGAACGACACAGTGTACATAGGTTTTGTAATAGAACTGTGGAGCGTCCATCTGACACAATATACTCCACATCGTTCTGTTTATCGACATTTTAATTTCATCATCATCATCAGCCTATTAATGTCCCACTGCTGGGGCACAGGCCTTCCCTATAGATGGAATTGAGAGATTGGGCCATGACCAACCACGCGGGCCCAGTGCGGATTGGTGGGTGCTAACGACTGCAGATGCAGCCGGGACCAATGGCTTAACGTGCCTTCCGAAGCACGGAGGAGCTCGAGATAGTAATTTTTGATCACCCAATTAATTATTATTGTTTGTGAAATGAAAATTGTGGTTTCTAATGCAATGATATGTCTTTTCAAGTCCTTCTTTAATGTCAATGTGATCCGAATGTTATTGCCTCTTGCACATTTAACGTTCCTTAGGTGATTGATAAGTATTCAAGAGATGCACCCCAATATTTATATAAGTTTTATACGTTACCAGTTGACCCGGCGAACTTCTTACCGCTTATAGTCCGAGAATATCGTTACTTTAGGTTAATTTGGAATGGTAATAATGGAATAAAAATAAAAAAAGTTCTATACTTTGTTATGATAATATAATGTAAAGTAAGAAAATTAAAATTCAATAAATGATGTATATTATAAAGGCGTGTCAGCAAGAAATTTGATTATTACATGAAGAATGTCTTCCGAGTTTCACCGATCACGATCACATCATAGGATAAAAAATGCGTGAGTGTCGTGGAACATTCGGTTGGAACGAAGTAAATTATCTAAATAATAGCTAAATTTTTTTTTCGCAAAATTGCTTGGAAATTTGATTATAATTTTGACAACCTTCTTCGAGATAGTTCGAAAATGCATAAACCTACATGCGAGCAGCGGCCGGCAAAAGTTGTACAAAAATTCATATCTGTCGTGATAAGCGGGCAAATAAAATACATAGTAAACTCTGTTTT